TTTGTGCTGCTGAGATTTAACAGTTATAACTTTTTCATCACACGAAAACTAATTAGAGGAAATTTGGAGGTGAATCGGTTTTGTCCCCACTCCCCACCATCAACAAGAATTTAACTAAGAACAAAGAGATTGAAAACAAAGGCAACTCTTCTCGTCTGAATGGTTCTCAAACTGCCGTGGCTCACCGTGAGTATAGAAAAATCATCACTGATAAATTTTTATTGCTTGCTATTTGGTGGTAAAAAACTGGAAGAAACGTAAGCCCCACCCAAATTTTGGTCCACCCACCGCCACTGGTTAAGATATGTGACAGACAGACAGACAGACACACACACACACACACACACACACACACACACACACACACACACACACACACACACACATAAAATGGCAGACAGACAGAAAGACAGACAGAGACAGACGGGCAAAAAGACAGCCAGAAAGACAAGCAGACAGAGACAGAGACAGAGACAGAGGCAGAGACAAAGACAGAAACAGAGACAGACAGAAAGACAAACAGACAAAGACAGAGACTGACAGACAGACAGACAGAAAGAAACAGAAACAGAAAGACAGACAGATGTGTGTCCATCCACACACTTCCCATGCTTTCTTCCGTCCACACACATGAACGGATACAATGAAAGCAAGAGTGTTCACGATAATTATAATGAAAAAGGAAAATATAATATGACATATATTGCGCTCTTTCCAAATCAAAGAACACAGAATCTGAGCCTTAGTACTTGCATCGATTGGGTAGTTATCTCATTCTTCTTTTCGCTCTCCATTTCAGGATTTACCCCGGTCAGCTCTGTTGTCACTTTCCTTATTCATCAATAAATAAATTTTTTAAAATAAATAAATAAATAAACGAACAAATATGTAGATAAATTGATAAATAGAGAACAAATAAATAAACGAATAGATAACTAAATAAATAAACTGCAGACTTTTACGCTCCTATCGACACTATTTAGATCATTCAGGTTGAGGGCTGAGAGAGAAGGATACAACGTCTATGCAGGGGGATATATTTTATAAAAATTCTGCCCAATTAGGAATAAAACTCACGTCTCCTGCGTGTGAGGGCAAAGCACCTGACCACTCCACCGCACCAACTAGTGTCTGTGCCTCTGTCTCTTCGTAAGGCGGCACACATCTGTCTGCCTATCTGTCTGTCTGTCAGTTGTTCTCCCTGTCTGTCTGTCAGACAGACAGACAGACAGACAGACAGACAGATAGATAGACAGACAGACAGACAGACAGACAGACAGACAGGCAGACAGACAGACAGACAGACAGACAGACAGACAGATAGACAGACAGACTCAGAGATGGAGACAGACAGAATAGCCTTGTTATTCTCGCTCCCTGACTACCCAGTGCAATGATCAAGTGCCCATGTCGCCGCTGGGACCATCCTCTTTGAAATGGTCTCTCCTCTAATGACTTCTGTAATTACTTACTTCATTCTGTTACTTCTGTTTCAGACGGCCAGAGATTTTTTTTACCTCCCCTACACTGGCCCATTAGGCTCCAATTATAACGGACACTTTGTGGTGACTCATACTTCCTGTCTGTCAAGCGCGAAAGAAGACTGTCTCTGCCCTTGTCTCTCATTCTGTCCCAGCTTCCCCTCCCCCCC